TTTCTCGTCGAAATAACAACGATTCGACAAACCAGAACAGTTGCACGCTACAACGGTGAATCGAAAATGTTATCAAGGGAAAAGGCAGAAAATGATATGTCAATTTTTAAACATGATTTAATATTAATGTTGCTGGCACTTTAATGTGGTTTGAAACACCGATATGCTTCGCTGGCAGTACAGTTATTTAAAGTGTCAATTTATTGAAGACAGAAGTTAAATTAGTTTCAGAGAGTATATGATTTTACATGTTCAATTTAATTTCAGTCAAAGATTTACATTAATATATCAGTAGTATATTAAATGTTCAACCTATGATATCTGACAAAATCCTTATTGTTCCTTAAACGTTTATTCTTAAATAACTGTAACCTGAACATCAGCATTAGAGGTATAAAACATTGCTTAAGCTCGTTTGGTCTTTTTTCTCATTTAGTCGAAGCACCCGTGAAGTGTTTGGCAGGATTTAAATTCAATATTCAGAGACCGTACGTACGCAATACGTCGTAACTTTTCTCCCAGCGAAAGTACGAAAGGGCGATGCAGAACTTACAGTCAGGTGAGAAATGACACGTGAATGTTCTTGATGGGTTGCCACGCCTTCATGTAGCACCTTTCCGAAGTAACTTCTTTTTCAAAGCCATTTTGATGTAATTTAGTTCTTTATGAAAATCACCTTGGGTGACAGAAATCTTTCGCGCTCTTTGGAAAAATGCATTGACAGAACCGCGCCTTCTTTATGCATTCTGGATGGTCTGAAGAGTAATACAGATTCGGATCCGTAAGCCTCTTCTTCTAAACGCGGCACCGTCCATCACACGGGTCAACCCGACCCGCATGAAATAGTTGTAAACTTAATGTTAGTCTTAAGATAGACGGAACTTGGTTCGAAACGTCAATATTTCTATATAACAGTTATAATTAAATAAACTAGCAGTTGGAATTATTGAAGTTTGCTTCAAGAATATGTACACAAGACATTTTACGTTTGCATTCATTGCCGTCCTCGGCTGTAGCCGCCTTCCACGGCATGTCGTTGTAGAACGTCAGGCATTCGTGGCAGTCTTCACCTTGTGTGTTGTGCTCGCACTGGCAAAACAGTCGTTCCTCGCCACCGGCTTTCGTTTTCACGCAAGAACCAGCGTGGCCGTTGCACTTGCACCTAAATAAATCACCGTCAAAACTTTGCATCTCATGCTTGTTGTTGTTAACGTCGAAGTGTAATAATATAGACATCTGGGATGTCGCAGAAATTCATGAGAAGTAGATATGAAAAACAACTTCTTAAACTCATACCAATACCGCGCCTTGAATTACGGGATACAATAGGTTTGCCTAACTTCACGCGGTTAGCGGTAATCAGCAATGTTGCAAATCACAGTAACATATGCACTCATTGAGAGGTACGGCTATGCCTTGATACGCATACAATACCCTAAAGCATGGTTTTACCCCATATCAGGCGACGACTTTCGCAACTAACTCGATTTCACCTCAAACATTTGCTTCGAATGAAGTTCAGGAAAGACTATAAAGTTAAAGATCATGAAAGTAAATTGAATATTATTCAAAAAAAGTTTATATGAGATCAGTTGTGGAGCGAAATTGTACTTTATCCAACTATTTATTGAATTTTACTATTTTTAAATTTATTATTTTAACAGCTCAAAGTGATTAAGAGACGCATTCGAACTGCAGTCACTAAAATATGCTACAAACTTTTTCTGTTGATCTTGTCTGAATGTTAATAAAGCTGCCACATATTCGCATATCTATAGATCTGTTCTACCTTAATGACGACGAAACGCACTAAGCTTACATTCTCGAAACTACTGCTCCCGCATACTGAAATGAACAATGAACTGTTAAAAATGGAAGGATGGCTGATAGAGTGCGAGTGCATTTGTGACAAATCATTCTTTGGGCATTACTCGACGTTTGGAAAGCAAGGCTTGATTCGCATTGAGTTCATCGCTTGAATTAAACAAAGAATGTAAACAATATGAACTGCTACAGGACATAAGAGCAAAGCAAGTCTGCTTAAATAAAGCATAAGGATGAAAGAATTATGCATCAGTGTACATCTGCCGAGTTTTACGTTTCTACACTAAGGTATCAAGTTACTGTCCGTAAAGTACGTGTTTCGGTTCCTCCACCGTTGCGAGTTACAATGTTACCTGCTTGAACGTAAACCTAATGATTGTCCGCATAATGGGGATATCAGTGTGAACAAAACTGGAGCTTTTCTACATTAGACAAAGAGTATTTACTGTCAAATGCAGGCAATATGGTCTGAAAAGCTTTAAATGTGATAGTGTAGCGTTCACCAATGGTGGCGTATAAATCAGCCAAGTTAGCGCCGTAATGCAGCAGCTAAACTAGTTTGTGATGATTAAGAAAGAGCTAAACAAAGTTAGGTCCTATCTGTCATTAAGTCTGTCGATGCACCTACCATCACAGATGGTCGTGAGTGCCGAATTTTGATTGAACAAGTGATTCATCATACAAACGAAAAAATGAGCATTTAATGAATGACTGTCGATGAGAAAAGACTCGAAAAGTTTCTAAACCCTGCAATATTATACAGCCTCGCTGGTGCACCTCTATTTCTTCAAACATAGCGGTTTGGACACATTCTGGATATAGTAAAACAGTGACATCAAAGATGGGTTTTCGCTGCAAAAGTACATCGAACAACGTTCGGACGACAGAGCAATGGGAATAAGACGATCCGAGTGAATAAGTGAAAGAATGAGTATATAAGCATAGTGCTGATTCTGAAGAATTGCTTGATCTTCACCTAATCTTAAAAAAAAGTTTTTACTATATTCTTCGTCATGAAGATACTGGCCAGCCAAAAATTAGGTCGTAGTTTTCACCACTACCTGAGATTTTAACCAATATGAGTCACTTTTATACTTATAAGCCATAATCGCACGAAATGCTTGAATCAACCCTTGGTTCTAGGAGCTTGTGCAGCCATTTGAGAAGGCCACCATTTCATTTATTATAGAATCAGCAAACAGGTATGCATAACCAAATCAATGCGTTGGGACGAAAAGGCTAGAATTCCAAACACTAGCGAATTCACGTTTACCACCCATACACATATTGATATTATAGTTCACACACTGAAATTATATGTTGGATGCTGTACGATTTTAGATTGTGCCTGCAAAACAGAAGGACAAATGAAAGCAACTACCACAAAGACACTGACACTCGTCTAATAAACATTCAGACGGATTCGATGACACGTAACGAAAACCTG